TTATACACAGAGACCAGGTGAGCTTTGTCCTGGCTAGACACGCCACAGATAACACCAGGAGGACCATTGACCTGATTGATCTAGTCAATAAGTTCCCAACTCCTACTGTCTCAAAAAAGCATTTGACCGACTTAGTTGGCCATACATGTTTCTAGTCCTGGAGAGATTTGGGTTTAGTGGTTCATTTGTAGTTGCTTTAAAAGCCCTTTACTCCACTCCCTCCTCCCAGGTCAAATTGGCGTTGTTTTTATCCCCTTCCTTATGGATGTCCAATGATACATGCCAGGGATGCCCTCTTTCTCCCTTGTTGTTTATCCTCTGTTTAGAACCCCTGGCTATAGCTATTAGATCCAATCCGGATATCCATGGGATACGCACCCTCAACATTGACTTTAAACTGTCTTTGTTCGCTGATGATATCTTGCTGATGCTGACAAAGCCCCACCTTACATTGCCGGTCTTACATTGTACTTTACAGCTTTTTGGTGCCCTGACAGGTTATAAGGTTAACGCGTCTAAAACTGAAGCATTACCACTCCACATGCCATCTACAACTTTATCTTCCCTTCAGTTAAATTATCCATATCGTGGTTCCCCCACGCTTTGAAGTATTTAGGTACCAACCTTACTTCCTCATACCACTCCCTTTATGAAGCTAATTTCTCCCCTCTGTTTCATGCAATTTCTCAGTCCTTAAAATCCTGGAACAACCTTGCCATCTCCTTCCTTGGACGGATTAATGTGCTAAAAATGACCATACTGGCCAAACTTCCGTACCTGTTTGAGACGCTTCCTGTTCCTATACCCATGTCCAAGTTGCACTTCCTTCAGAAATCCTTTCTCCAATTCATCTGGCATAATAAAGATCACCGAATTGCCTGTACTGTCCTTCTCTCTCCTCGATCTAGGGGGGTCTGGGGGCCCCAGACATTGTGTTGTATTATTTAGCTACTCACCTTCGGGCTCTTGTCTCGTGGTCCTCCCAGCGTCCCCCTAATAAATGGGCTGAGATTGAATGGCTGCAATTAAGTCCAGTGTTCCCTTGTTCCCTACTCTGGTCTATGACCAACAATGAAACCGCCTCCTACAAACATCTCCTGCTTGGGCCCATGCATTTGGCATTATCTATATGGCGGTGGTGTAGGGTTAAATTTCCCCTGTCTTCTCTGTGTTCCCCCCTGACCAATCTCATATTTAATCCCAGTCTCCCAGATAGTTTGGCTTTGGCCCGCATGCGTCCCTTGGCCGAGGCCAATCTATTTCAGTTGCAACACTTGGTCCACCCAGTGACTCGTTAGCTTAAATCCTTTTCTGAGATTCAAAAAGCCACCCGTATGTCACCTCAACAATATTATGTTTATCTACAGATAAGTCACTTTTTTTCCTCCAAAGCCCCATCTTAACTCTTGAGATGCCTACCCCTTTTGAAAGCATCTGCATTCAGGGTCCATACCAACGGAGCATAATTTCCTCTACTTATAAGCTGCTTCAAGACACTATTCCCCCCTTTCTTTTGATACACACCTTTATATGAGTAAATAGCCCCGGATCCTCCAATGTGATATTGCCTTGGATCACTGGAGTAGGATTTGGAAGGCTACCTCTAGATCTTCTATATGTGTAGTATATAAAGAAAATACTTATAAAATACTGATGTTTTGGTATAAGATTCCTGATGTTCTCCATGCTTGCAATCCGAGTGTTTCTTCTGTCTGCTGGCGATGTGGCAAGGAAACTAGTACTCTCTTCCACATTTTCTGAATTTGCCGACACATTGCACCCTTTTGGAGAAAGGTTCTTAACCTTTTGCAGCTACTTTTACAGACTCCTATTTCATTTGAACCCATCCACTTTTTGTTGGGCCTATCTTTTTCAGGCCTCTCCAAATTTGCCAGGAAACTATCCTCCCATGTTTTAACAGCGGCCAGGAGAACCATTCCCATGCATTGGCTTTCTACTACACTTCCTACATGATCGGAATTGGTGAAGGTTATAGCAGAGATTAGAAGAATGGAGTACCTCACTGCCTTGCATGCTAACTCTGTCCCCATCTTTGAGGCAGTTTGGGAACTGTGGGATGTTTCCATTACTGATTTGCCTACTCAATTGTCTGAAACTGATGGCTAATTCACTGTTATGTATTGACATTGTATGTACCTATATGTCTCTTATCGATGAGCCTATTTCTCTGTTCTTTTATTGCTTGGTGATTGTTATTTCGCGATTCTATGCAATTCTGTTTGTTGGAAGCATTTTGAAAATCAATAAAAAGTAAAATTAGAAAAAAAAACACTGCATCTGTATGAAATGGCTCATCAATATTCCCAACTATACAGGCTGTTTTCACCCTAAATTGTTTGTTATGGATTGCCCCACACTATTGGTAACTTTGGTCTTATAACTGAATTAGACTCCCTCTTAAAGCATGCCAGCCTCATAGTTAAAACCCTTTAGAAACCACAGAAATTAGTAATCAGTTTGATAGACATTGTATTAACAACCTCCAGTTTCATAGCCTTATCTTCACTTTCTCATTATAGCAGTTGTGCAGGGTGTCTAATTATGAATGCACAGTCCAATAAGCATCAGCATTAGACCAGTTCTCCTAGTAATGATGAGCTTCCAATAATAGACCAGATCTAACACATCCCTTCTTTTTCTCAGCAATACATGTCTGCTGGAGGACACTTGTATGTGGCTGTTCCTCAGCTATTCCAGCACAGCGCACATAAGTGTAAAGGCAGCGTACATATTTTCAGGGAAATGCATTGGAGGCAATTCCAAGCAAAAATCACAAATCATAGCATGCGGGAGTTCAGGACTAGAAATAGATAAAAAAAAATAGACCTAAATTTGGCTTTATATATGTAACACCCTCCTAGTTAGGAACGAACTAGGATTTGTATTGATAGGATATGTATAGCTGTGTTTCTCTGCTTAACAGTGTGCTGTGATGGATTATTAAGGTCTGCTCTGGTGCTGTTTGAGTTTGCCTTGAGTTCTGCCTGCCTTCAGGAAGCTATGAGAGCCTTTCAGGACCTGGAAGGGAACTAGGCAAATGAACAGCATGAATATGGATACATGCCTGGCCAACTGTAGGGGAGGGTGGCCCCATTGCATCCTGGGAGCGGTATTTATGTTCTGTGAGCCCATGGGTTCAGCATCTTTCTCTGGAGAGGTTTGTACCAAGCCAGGCTGGAAGCAGGCTTGCCTCGCCTGGCACTTGTTGCCATGCAGGCCTTAAGTGGGCGACCTGAAAGCCTGAAGTCAGGAAGAGTGACCCTGGTTCTACTCCTGAATGAGGAGAGCTGTCTGCCAAAGATCTGTCTGGTATAACTAGAGAGAGAGGAAGATTGAGGAGGTTGCCATTTTGTCTTTGGGCTTGGGAGTACAGACACTAAGAGATCTTGGAGACTCTCTGTGCTTGCTACCTTTCTGATGCTTGATAGTCAGCGTGTTGCTACTGCAAAGGAGTTTGTTCACTTCTATTACTTTGGACTGCTACAGTCCGCCATAACAGGCTTGTACCTGAGGAGCTCAGCCCTGCAGCTCCTACTATTGCTAAAGGGACTTTGCTCACTCTTAAACTACTTGCTGCTACACTTTAAAGAGAAGTCTGCTTTCAGTCAGGACTTCAACAGTGCTCATCTAAGAGATACGTTCAGATGTCCTCAGTGTGAATAGTTTTAATTTTGGAGTATCCTACTAAATTCCCCATCCCTATCCCCAGTTCTACAATAAAGCTCCAAAAACAAACATCCCCTAGACCCGTCGTTGAAGACAACAAGCAAAAGATTGTGTACCTGGCTGTGGAAAATAATTTATGACTGGATGCAGGGCGATGAAAGGGGAAACGTGGGCAAAAAAACAAGCAGCTCCTCCGGGGTGAGCCCTACATATATATTTTGCTTCTCTCTGCATCCTGTATTTTATGTGGCTTCACAGTCCTGTATGATTCATTTAGTATAAATACATGCATTCCACTTGTGATGAAATGTTAATTCCTTAAAGTATATGTGAAGCCAACGGCCCATTCAAAAAATGAGAGGCAAAACATTTGTGTACATATATTAAAAAAATATAAATACTTTTTTTTTTCACATGTTCTCAGCTGCAAAAGAGGCATAGAGAGATGGGTGTGCAGACTGCAGAGGGGTGTGTTGGCAGGAGAGAAATAGCAATACACTCATCTTCCCTGTGAATGGTTTTGCCAGGAGGCAAGGGGGAGAAGGTTGCCAGCACAAGTCTTGGCCATTGGAGGACAGGCAGGCTCTGCTCAAAGCACAGCCAGAATACTGACCACACTGGGAAGGACATACTTCTATACCTAACGTGGTCAGTTTGAAATAGGAAAGCAGGGGGACTGGCAGAATCACCAGGGATGTCACACAAAAGTATTAAAAAAAAGAGAACAGGATAATTTTTCATACAAGTACATAGTACAAAGACACATCAGGAATATGAAATGTTGGGGTGACAAATTCCTTAAAGCCTAACTCTAGTTTTCTGTCATTTTAAAACAGTTTGGGCCAAGCTGGTCCAAACAAACTATTACCTTTACTAACAGATGTGCTCCTGCTGTGAACACAGTATAAACTGTATGCAGCATCATCTACAGTTGTGTTTCAGCAGCAGGATGGGGATTTCCTCTCCCATTCCTAGAACAACATTGAGTCAGACGGAGCACTGGCTAGCCATGAACAGAAAGCTTTGAATTTTCTGGATGAATACAAGGCCTATTCTGATTGACTAAGGTGGAAATGTGGGGGGAATTACCTCAGAATCTCCTCCTCAGCCAGTCAAGGGAAGCTCTGTATTTATTCAGCCCAAGATGGTTTTGTTCAGGGAAAAAAAAGAAGCAATTTTGAGACAAAAACATGAAAGTTAAAGTATCTACAAATGGCGGTATATATACTGGAATTTTTTTATATATAAATATATATATATATATATATATATATATATATACATACATACATACATACTAGTAATGGCAGCGATCAGCAAATTATAGCAGGACTACGGCGGGCATTCTGACACTGGGGAGGGAACTGACTAACTGTCAATGACATCCCCAGTGACACCAATACAGTGATCAGTGCTAATAAAAAGCACTGACAATGTACTAATGACACTGGGCAAGAAGGTGATAACATCTGGGACGATCAAAGGGTTAACTGTGTGCTGTTTTACTGTGTGCTGTGTGTATGCGCTTTACTGTGTAAGCACATTGCTTTGTATTGCTCTGCTGTGCAGAGCACTAAAAAGCAATGTGCAGGAGCTGACAGGGGAGAGATCTGTACAGCAAATAACATACACATATGTGGTATCACTGCGATCATTGGGAGCAGGAAAATTTATTTTTGGTTGCTCTGTTTTAATAGGTTATGGTAGTAGCAAAAAAATATACAGAAACCTTTTTTAAATATATATATTTTTTTTCCTATTTTGGGACAGTTTTTCTTTGATAATTAAAAAAAAAAAAACATGGTATATCCATTACTATTTACTATCAGATGAAAGCTAATTTGTCCTGAAAAAACAAGGGGTTAAGATAATACGGTAGTTTGTTTGGACTAGCTTGGTGCACACAAATTAATTTGAAGTGACAGAAATCTGGGTGCAGCTTTAATGTCTTGCATGAGTGATGTATAAAACAAGGGCATACAACTTCATGAGAAATATGGACTTTCAGCCAAAACCTACAGGCTAGCTACACACTTCTGCTATGCCCATAGTTATGCAGGTAAGTAATATGTTTTTACATAAGTATATGCTGTTTATCAGGCCAAAAGAAGGGGCAACTGAGGAAGAGGGAAGGAAAGAAGGAATTGGTCCCAAAACAAGGGCAGTGTCTCCAAACGTGGGAGAATCAAGAGCAATGCAAGGGAAAGTCTACTTCCCACCATAGGCACTAACCTACATGGCCTTTCCACATTTTTAGTCCGGGTGTCGGGTGCTGCAGAGATACAAATATACAGTGTCTTTTTCTTTGCACAAAGTCAGTGGGGTTGATTTACTAAGAGTTCTAAATCAGATGCAGCTGTGCAGACACCAATCAGCTTCTTCTTTCAGCTTGTTCAAGTACTGGAAGCTTCGGCAATAAAACCTGAAAGCTGATTGGTTTCTGTGCAGAACTGCACTAGATTTTGCACACTCCAGCATTAGTGAACCTTATTGTTTCTATTTAAGAACATGTGACATCCCACTTCTTTTGCTAATTTTATTATCAGTTCAGCTTTCCCTAACGGATGTATTAAAATGTAAATACGTAGCCCACCATTTTCAAACTAAAGAGGATTTTCCCTCTGTTCATTATACATTGGCACTAAGCCCAGCAAGAATTTGCTCTTATGGGATAACTAAACTAAAATAATGCAAGTTAACTGAACCTTTTCTGCCCTTTTTATGAGTATTTGGTTTAAAGGGTAACTCCACTTTCATGGGAAAAATAGCAAATATATAGTATATAAGTAATAAGAAATAAAATAATGTATACAATTGTGACACAAGTCATATTGTAATTGAATGTTATTAATAATTACCTTACCTCCAATTTGCAGCATTGTATCTTTCTGTAAAATGCAATGCAATATGGCTACCTGGAGGCGTTCTGTACACAGAAGGTATACAGTACGCCGCCCAGAAACATAATTTCCAGCTTGTGTGATTAGCTTACTGATTTTTCCAAGAAATCTGAACTAAGTTACAAGTCAGATTTCAGGCATCCCCTGCAACAAAATTGTAATTTTTGGTGAGATACTCCCAAAAGGGCAATCCTGTCTAAAGGGGTGCAAACTCTGCAATTTTCCTCATTTGAATACTGCAGGTACAGCAACTGATTGATAATTATGAAATCACTCCTGTATAGATTCACTCTGCAAAATGGACACAGAAAAGCAAACAGCCCTCTTCACAATAACAAAAGGTAGGACTCTGCCACAAAGTTTGTTAAAATCCTAGCAATGTACATAGATCACGCAGAGGAGAATGTTTGTTTTTTTTTTCTAAAAAAAAGTGGAGTTACTCTTTAATAGTTAATACCTGCCACTCCGATGGCACATCACATTATAAAAATTAAGTAGTTAAAGAAAACCTGTCACATAACTTTTATAGCAAAGATAATGGATTTACAGTTGTGCTCAAAATATTGTATACCATGCAGAAATCCTAACATTTTGGCATTTATATTGAAAATATGACTGATCATGCCATGCTGGTCACAGCTTTTATTTAGGGATAGTGATTGAAGTCAATCTCCCCGACGCCAGTGATCATATGAAACCATTTATTATCTCATAGTTGTTTGACTCCTTTTTTAAATCATAATGATAACACAAAACACCCAAATGGCCCTGATCAAAATTTTACGTACCCTGGAATGTTTGGCCTTGGTACAGGCACACAAGGTGACACACATAGGTTATAATGGCAGTTAAAGGTTCATTTCCCACATATGTGGCTTTTAAAATTGCAATTAGTGTCTGTGTATAAATAGTCAATGAGTTTGTTAGCTCTCACATAGATGCACTGAGCAGGCTAGATACTGAGTCATGGGGATCAGAAAAGAACTGTCAAAAGACCTGTGTAACAAGGTAATGGAACTTTATAAAGATGGAAAAAGATATAATAAGATATCCAAAGCCTTGAATTTGCCAATCAGTACTGTTCAATCACTTATTAAGAAATGTAAAGTTCATAGATCTCTTGATAGCAAGCCAAGGTCAAGTAGACCAAGAAAGAGTGCACAACTGCCAGAAAGAATTGTTCTGGATACAAAGAAAACCCCACAGGTAACCGCAAAAGAAATACAGGCTGCTCTGGAAAAAGACAGTGTGTTTGGTTTTAACCCCTGATGACACCATGGCTTCACTGAACCCTAGCTATGCATGCATTTAAATGGATGTACAGCTTTATGAGCATTGTGTTCAAAAGAGAGCTTGACAGGGAAAAGGAAACCCAAAAATATCAAACTCCCATGATGAATCTGAAAGACATAAAACTGCCCAAATACCTTGTGACCAAAAAGTCCCGAGGATCTGACTGTCAGTGCTGCTTATATAAAGCATCATCCAGCAAGTTCACATCACCAATGATAATTATTATTGTTTCCACATGGCCAACTCTAAATCTAAATGTACCTGTTATCTACAAATAAATAACCAATTATCTTCATTGTCTTGCTGAAAAGGTAATGAAATGTGCCCTCTATTTACAGAAAATTAGATTTCCAGCAGCATCACAAAAATAGTTTTGTATAGTTAAATTTAATTACATACATTAAGCATTACTATAAAATGCATTTTAGTGGAGGGTGCCTCGCCATAAATACACTCTGTAATGTAATCTAATTCAGTTAGTTGGCAGTGTTCATCAATTGCAATTTCAGCCTTATTAAGTCACATCATGGTGTTATTAAAAATAAATCTGAAATAATTCATGAACAAAATACTGAAGCTGACCTACCGTCCATTCAATAATGCAACATGCTCTTTAGAAAGACGTCTGCAGAGCACAGGTTGCATCTAAAGTGGTAAAATAACATAAGCCCAATTAATTGTCAAAAAACAATCCTTGTAGCGAAATAAAGATTAAAGACTATAACAGGGGCGGACTGACCATTCGGAAACTCGGGCACTGCCCGAGGGCCCGGGGTCAGTAGGGAGCCCCATGAAAAGCCCCTGTTATCTTTTGTAGGCTTTTTTGGGTGTGGTTTGAGTGTGGGCGAGGATACAGGGGCCCCATGATCCCCTATTTGCATAAAAGTGGCCACCCGCCCAAGTCTATAACTGGCTTATGAAGCAAGGACACATAAACAGGCATCACATAGTGAAAAAAAGGGGGAGAGAACAATGTTCTTGGACAACTTGCCAGCCAGCTTGCTAACAACCGAATTAACCTGTCTAACAGTATGCGTTTATAACAGGGGTTTAGTTAGCACACATTTGCAAATACATACGTAAGCCACAGAGCCACGACACGGCACCCTGATCATCTGTGGTCCTAACTCTAAAATTTATGAGTCCCCATAGTAGAGGCACATGCATTTAATGGATAGATCAAGGGCAGGTGGACCTGAGGGAGCCACCCCTCTTAAAGGCAAAGAAGTGCACTGGACCCCAGCATGTAGCACAATGGCAACCAGGGCCCTAGTGCACCCACGTACCAAAAACTCAAACATGCATAAAAGTGGCCACCCGCCCAAGTCTATAACTGGCTTATGAAGCAAGGACACATAAACAGGCATCACATAGTGAAAAAAAAGGGGGAGAGAACAATGTTCTTGGACAACTTGCCAGCCAGCTTGCTAACAACCGAATTAACCTGTCTAACAGTATGCGTTTATAACAGGGGTTTAGTTAGCACACATTTGCAAATACATACGTAAGCCACAGAGCCACGACACGGCACCCTGATCATCTGTGGTCCTAACTCTAAAATTTATGAGTCCCCATAGTAGAGGCACATGCATTTAATCCCCTATTGCCCGGGGGCCCCATAAGTTGTCAGTCCGCCCCTGGACTATAACCATCCATGCCCCTAACCCACTTTCCCCTCCCACTACTAAAAGAAAAACATTAGAGAATTTAAATAGATCTGTTTAAGGCCATCCCATCCCCTGGGTTACCTTCAAGTAAGGAAGAAGTGAGCTTCTGCTGGAAAACAGTGTTCATTCCAAAGTTGCTCCTCATCTTTGCAAGCATGGTGTGTTGATTCAGGAGCTATGAGTCATATGACAATTACAGAAATTTCATTGTTCACCTTAACCAGAGCAAAAGAAAAAATATTCACCACAGCTAATGGGCAAATAATGGAATCAGAAAGAATAGGAGAAAGATTTCTTTACTGTCCTATTTCCCAGACTATCACCAGAAAGACACATGTGAAAACTGTCCTGTGTTTCTCTACTCTTGAAATAACTCTTTTGTCAGTGAAGAAGCTCACAAACAAGGCAATTTAGTGACCTTTCAAGGTTGATAGTTATGCCAGAACTTCAAAGAGAGAGGTTCAATTGTTGTGAAAAAGGCTTTAGGATGCCCAAGAAAGTTCAGGAAACACCAGAATTGTCTCCTAAAGTTGATTCAGCTTCAGGATCGGGGCACCACCAATGGAAAGTTTGCTCAGGAATGGCATCCAGCAGGTGTGAGTGCATCTGCACGCACAAGTGAGGTGAAGACTTTTGGAGGACGGCTTGGTGTCAAGAAGGGAAGCAAATAAGCCACTTCTCTCCAGGAAAAACATTGGGGACAGACCAATATTCTGCACAGGGATTGGACTGCTGAGGACTGGGCTAAAGTCATTTTCTCTTTTGAATCCCCTTTCCAATTGTTTGGGGCATCCGGAAAAAAAAC